ATATATATATATATATATATATATATATATATATATATATATATATACATGAATGGATAGAAGGACAGAGAGAAGGGTGAATGGATGGAAGGAAGAGTGGAAAATGGATGGTTAACGGATAAAGGATGGATGATGATTGGATAGAAAAATAGAGGGATCTAGGAAAGGATGGATGGATAGATGGACACAGTGAAACAGACACACAGCGGCTACAGGCACTCATTTATCTTAGTACTGTGTTTCATGTTATACAGCCCTGAGTCTGTTTCATCCTCATAGCAAGCTGGGACTGGAGCAGACACACCTGGCTCTCTGCCCTAAAGCCATTCCCATAAGATGATTTCATCTCACTGCGTAAATATTATAACCTAGGAAGGCATATGACTTTACCCAGTTCTCTTAGCAGCTAACGCTGTCAAAGAACCAAGCTCAAACACCTAGCTGGAAGGCACAACCTCCAGGGAATGCCTGGGAAGCATCTTCCCCCCCCCCCCCGCCTCGATTCCTGTTAAAAGGAATCGAAGGTGTGAAGAAGTCCCCAGTCTCTGCCCTGCATTTCCTGCTCAGAAATTTCCCTGAGCAAAGTCAAGGTCACTGGTCACCCAGAGAGTGGTTCACCCATTGCCTTGATATCAGTGAGCCCAGAAAAATCTGTCCACAGAATGGAGGGCAGGGGAAGGATGTGAGGCAAATGGCAGCACTCCATCCCTCAGTTGCTCCCACAACCAGACGGGCAGATCCCCCTGACAAGCGGTTCCCATTATGGATAAGAGGTGAATGTCAGTGCATCAGGGAAGTCACAGCTCACTAGCCCAGGACCGAAGGTCTGTCAGCTCTCATGAGCATGTTCCCAATGTGGAAGCAAGGGCCGCCACTTGTGGGAGTGTCCACCATGGAGTGTGTCGAACCTAGAGTGGGGTCGGAGGAGTTGTCCTTGCCTTCCACCTTATTGAGAAGAGGTCTGCCCTGCTGCTAACCCCAGGGAGCCAAGATGAAAGCTTCCAGGAATTTCTATCTCCACCCGCCATTTCATGCAAGCAGTACTGGGATTACAGGTGTGCATCAGATCCAGACGTATGCTTGCACAGCTGCAGCTTTTGCCTCCCCAGTTATCTTCCCGGGCACCCATTCTTGTTCCACACATGTTTATTAGGTCAGCTGTGTCACCGGGTCAAGAGCTCTGGTACCCTGCAGAGCACGGCACAAAATTGCCAATTATAAAGATGACTCTCCCAGCATGCCCTTCGATACCGCTGCTGAGTTCCTTGCCCTTTATTTCACCCAGGATAACTTCAATGAGAAATTGTACCGGGTAAAAAGTAGCTTCAATGATCTGAGCCAGACACCAGCTGGAGACACTAGACTCTAATCTTTTTCCCAAAGGGGCACTTGGCTAGGCCACAGAGGTCTAGGCAGTCCACTCACCTGTGAATGGAGGCCAGCTTGGCAGATTTCCTACCAATGGTAAACTGAGAGCAGTGTAGGTCGGCCTCAGCCCAAGTCTTGTTGATGGGGAAGAATCTGTAGCAGTGACCTTTGAACTCTGTCCAGAACAGGGGACACAGCAGGGACATCTGAGGCACCTCTGAGAGTGCTGTGGATGGAGAGGAAACAGAGATGGAGGTGATGCTCACGTTGTCTCTGTGGCTTATTACGTATCTTTAAGAGTAAAACACATCCATTATGATTAACAGTTCTGTGCCTGAAAATATATGCACACTCAGGGCTACATAGAGAAACCTTATTTCTTTTTAAAATTAAAAAAATTTTACAATTTATTCACTGTATATTCAGATTGTAGCCCCTTCCCTCAACTGCTCCTCCCTCCCTCCTCCCCCATATCCCCGTATTCACTGAAAGGGGGAGTTCTCCTTCCCTGCCATCTGCCCCTAGCTTATCAAGTCTCATCAGTACTGCCTGGATTCTCTTCCTCTGTGGCCTGGCAAGGCCAAATCGCCAGGGAGAAATGATAAAAAAAAAAAAAAAAAAAAAAAAAAGCAGGCAATCGAGTTCATGACAGAGGCAGCCCCTGCTCCCCTTACTCAGGAACACACATGGAGACTGAGCTGCCTATCAGCTACATCTGAGCAGGGGGTCTGGGTCCTCTCCATTCATGGTCCTTGGTTGGTGCATCAGTCTCTGCAGGACCCCTGGGTTCAGACTTTTTAGCTTTGTTGGTCTCCTTGTAGAACTCCTGTCCCCTCCAGCTCCTTCTATACCCCCTTCTTCCATAACACTCTTTGTGCTCCGCCCAAAGTTTGGCTGTGAGTCTCAGCATCTGCTTCAATCCCCTGTTGGGTGGAGCCTTTCAGAGGACCCCCCATATTAGGCTCCCATTCCGTTTCCTAGAGACCCTATTTCAATTAATCAAACACACAAACAAACCAAAAAAGAGATTTATTGTAATTATTTATGCACTAAGTGTGTGTATGCTGTGTGTGCAGGATGCCATGTGCATGCATGTGCCCACTGATCCGGAATAGGGCACTGGCTCTCCTGGTGCTCTAATTACAGGTGGCTGTGATCCGCCACTGGGGTGCCAGGAACAGAGCCCGGGTTTCCTCTTACCTGCTGAGCCATCTCTGCTGCCCCTATTAAGGCTGCTTTGGGATAGCCCCTAAGTAGCCTTCCTAGAGTTTAATCATTGCCTTATTTTTGGGTAATTAGATTTCATAAAAACTCGCTATGAATAATATTGAAACAGCGGTTTCACGCAACAAGCTTTGCCAGTGTTTCTGGTAGTTTTTGAGGAGAGGCTTGGAAGGGGTTGGAACAGTTTCTAAATTGTTTCCTGAAAGCAATCCCCCCTCCTGTTGTCCTGTCTGAGGGAACCCATCTCACTTTGCCGTCTCTAGCCCTGACTGCCGTCATTTCCTTGGGGATCTCTGCAAATTTTATAAGCAAGAAATGATACATTGTTTCAATTGGCAATTTCAGGCTATCTGGCAAGAGTGTGTATCCAGCTAGAAGCAAGACTTTCTATCTTTCACCCATCACACTGCTGGGGTCATGGTCGGTTGTCAATTGTGAAAAGCAACACACTGAAAATAACAAATAACAACAAAACTAACCCCACAACCCATGTTTGAGACAATACAGCTCTCTCAAGTCTGGGCTCATCTCAGAAATTTGTGGGGGTGTTCTTGGAAACAGGACTCAGGCTGAGGGGAGAGGCAGACAGCTGAGACCCTCCCGTGCACTGGGTTGGGAGACTCAGTAGCCAGCAGCGGTCCCCGGGACACCGCGGTACTGGTCAGCTCTGTCTGACCAGTTGTGAGTCTTAGGAACATTCTCTTCTTCCTCAGATGTATGTATATCTGGCGGACAGAGGTGTGGAGTCTGTGCCTTCAATTCGCCATCATAGCTGGCTGACTCTGGGATCATAACGTAGCGAGTAGGGGCTGGGGACTGGACCGGTGGGTAAAGCACTTGCTGTGCAACTGTGAAGACTGGAGGTCAGATCCCTGGCAGCCACAGAGAAGGCTCAGCTCTGTGGGGTGTGGGATGTAGAGACAGGTGGATCCTCGGGGCTTGCTCACCAGCCTGTCAAGCCGAACAGGTGAAACTTCAGGTTCAGTGGGAACCCTGTCTCAAAAACAGGTGGAGACACCTGGCATTGTGGCCCACGACTTTCACCCTAGCAACCAGGAGGCAGAAGCAGGTGAATCTCCATGAGCTCAAGGATGGTTTGGTCTACATAGTGAGTTCCAGGTCAGCCATGGCTACATAGTGGAAAGACCCCACCCCTCCCCCAAACAAAAAAAAAAAAAAAAAAAAGGAAGGAAGGAAAAAGAAAACAAGACGTGGAGAACAATCTCTCTCTCTCTCTCTCTCTCTCTCTCACACACACACACACACAAAGATAACATAGTGGACAGCACAACACAGTGGACAGAATTCCTAGAGCACGGATTGTTTATTTATTTGCGTGTGTCTGCAGGTGCACATCCATGTGGGAGGCAGAGGACAACTTCAGATGTCACCCTTAGGAGTGCTGTCTCTCCACTTCCCTCGAGGCAGTCTCTCAGTGGTCTGAATCTTGCCAATTTAGGCTGGGCTAAGTGAGCCCCCGGGATGCCCCTGTCCCTGCCTCCCCCGTGCTGGGATTACAAGTGTAGCCACGATGCCTGTTTTTTTGTTTAAATGTGGTTTCTGTGGGTACTGAACTCAAATCCTCATGCTTTCAGGGTAATTATTTACAGCCTGAGCTATCTCCCTAGCCTCCAAGGGGCATTCACGATGTGCCGTACAGACAGAAAGTGGGGCTTCAACAGCTTCAGTCTGGGAAGATGGTGGAGGCCTCCTGACCACAAAGACTGTCCTTGCTTCCTCATGGGAGACTGGCAGGCCGAGTGCGGGTGGCTGACAGCAGCTTCCCAGAGCTCGTGCCTTCTGCTTTGATTCAGGTCGGCTCATCTTCTGCCAGTCACAAACACCTAATCAGACCTCTGTGGGCAAGTCTCCTGCCTTGACTCTGACCAACTCCTGCTTCTCCTCTGGTCTCTACTGCTTGGTGGCTTTAGGTACCTCAGATGGGTATCTCTGGTAAGAGATGCACCCCGACTTCACATGCACCCAGAATTCTTGTCTAGGGTTGTCTACGGTCAGTAGCTGCCGTGATCACTTCTCCTCTCCCAGAACCTTGGTACCCAGAGGGTACATTGGACTTAGATTTAAATCATTGATTTTATTGTTAATTATGGGGAGGGACTTAACATGCATATGATCACAGTGTCCTTGGAGGCTGGCATTGAAGCCTCTTCAGTTACAGGCAGTTGTGAGCCACCTGGTGTGTGTGCTGAAGTGGGAACTGAACCTGGGTCCTCCGAAAGAGCCCTAAGCTGAGCTGTCTCTTTAGTGTAGGTTTTGAATGAAAACAGCAGGTAGGGATGTATTCAAACAGCACTGAAGGCTAGTTGCCTGGTCTTAGGTTTCCGGATTGTCCTACACTATCATGTGATGAGCAATATAGCATGAAATCTCACTGGCAATACAAACTCTTGGGGGCACTCAAGGCCAGGGAGAGGGTCAAAAGCACATTTTAACAAGCATGGGTGATTGAGTAAGTGTGGAATCTTAGAAATGCTGGTCTGTAAGGAGAAAGACGAATCCTGTAGTAGGATCATTTTTTCCCTCTCTTGTTCCTTTTCCTCCTTGCCTTTTTCCCTCCCTCCTCCCTCACACTCCCTCCCCTCTTCCCTCCCTTGCTCTTCCTTCCTTCATCCCTCTTGCCCTTCCCTCCTCCTTCCCTTTCTTCCTGCCTTGGATAGGGCTTGGTCAAGAGGAATTAATAATTAATTAAATGAAGTGGGGCTGAGTGGGAAGAGGAGGAGGTAAAGGCCCCTGGGTCTCCAAGTCTTCTTCCCCCAGGTGGAAAATCCTTCCTGAGCTACTTTACACCCCCCTAATTCTGATCCCTTTGAGGTTTCCCCTTCACTAAGGAAAACAAAAAAGGGGTGTTTCTGCATGCCTGGGTTGAAATAAACCAGAAAATGGGGCTGTGCAGGTCACTGCCCAATTATTCTCCTTCCACCCAGGCCAGTAAAGACCTTTAATTGGAGGCCTGGGAAACACAAGCATTAACTCCTACCTGTCTGGTGTTTCCCTTCTGCCTTTGCCTCAGGGATCTTAGAAGCTGAGGTTAGAAAGGTTTTCATCAGCAGGACCCCTAACCAGCCCAAGGGTCCTCCGAATGGCCTAAGATGGCAAGGGCTACTCCTGAAGCATTTAAACGCAGCACATAAGCCAGACTCGAGATCTGAGAGGCTTCCTGAAAAAGGTGATGAGTCAGCAGAAAACTGAAGGCTGGTGAGAGTCAGAGAATGTTCCAGGAAGGCCCAGGCAGAGGGACCCAGGTGGGGGGGGGGGGGTGGGGGGTTGGCGGGGGGGGGGTTGAACTAAGAAAACTGAGAAGAAGGAATCCGAGGTGAGGTTGGAGGAAGGGATGGGGATTGAGGGAGAGAGGCAGACAGGAGGTTTAGAGCAGGAGGAGGCTTGTTGCTCAGGAAACCAAGAAGCCAAACTACACGGTCTTTTTCTCAATAAGTAGCAGCCAAGGTCTCCCAGCTGGGGGGTGTGGGGGGAGGCAAAGGCTTTGGGAGCTAAGCTTGTTCCGGGACGAAAACATCGGTGGAATCCAGCTCTCCCACTTTGAGAGAATAAATTGTCACCTTCCCACTCAATCTGGCTGTGAGCTCCCCTGGCCCTGCACCAGCCGCCCACAGATGCAACGCTCTGCTCTCTGCTGCCTCCTGCAGATGCACTGCTTTGCTGCCACCGCCTCCTGCCCAGAGAGGAGAGGAGGTGGGGAGGCTCCAGGGCCACGCTTACCTTCCCCCATTCCCATAGTGGGCCCCCGGACACTCCTGGGAGCTAAAAGGAAGTGTCTTCCAGGCTTAAGTAAGGTGGCGGGCAGGGCCACCTCCTGTTGCCTGTCTAGTTTGAATGCTCAGCAGTCCTCCTTAAAAGCAAGCCTTGCTTTTTCCATCTTGAGCATCTTCCCTCTGTGAGCCACTCTGGAGGCCCCAGAGCACAGAGGAAAAGCCCTGAAACCGTTGCTTAGATTCATCCTAGCAGGGACCATTCATTGAGTGCTTGATGCTTGGTTCCTGGAGGCCAGCCCAGGAGAGATAGTAGACCGGAACCCAGTTTGCTGACGAGCACCGGAGAGGCTGCTGCTTGCTCCTGGCAATCATGTTTGTAACTCTCTGAAACCCCTGCCTCCACACCTACAGGCTCTGGTTCATGAATTTAACCAACAGTGGAGAGAAAGCATCTGGAGTGGGGGTGGGGCAGCCCACCTGTGCTGAACATAGACTTCCAGGTGCTGGGAATCATGCCTGGGGATTTACATGTGCCAGGCAAACTCTCTACCCAACCCCCAGCCTTTGATGTTTGAGATAGGTCTCACTAGGTAATTCAGGCTGGCCTTGGGTTTGAGAGTCTCCTGTCTAAGATTCCTATGTGTCAAAAAAAAGGGGCAGACAGTTTTTCTTTCATGTGGTCCTTCTCTACACGATGCACTCCAGCAACTGTTTGCTTTGTATCGGTTTTATGAGTGGGTTCAAGAACATGGGAGGTGGGCCTTAGTTAGACGTAGCTACTGCATCCTTCTACAGCAGGGACCCAGCATCTGAAAATGTTGGCATCCACAGGAATGCTGGAGCCAAGCTCTTGCAGACAGCCGAGGGACAAGTTTAACCACGATGTAAAGACACCAGCATTTCCCGAGTTTCTATATGTTTCTAAGTGTGTGACCTCATGCTGTTCCCACATGATATTAGTAATCATACGTGAAGGAGTATTCCAAAATATGTGTAGAGTGCCCTGTTCCTACAGAGGGGAGCAAAATGGGCCAGTGTCTGAGGCACGCTCCAGGATTGGGTCTACTGTAGGAGGAAGGTCATCCAGTTGCTTGAGTCTCTGTGCTCTAGTGGAGGGGCTCGGACTCTGATCCCTGATGACCCTGTTGGAAACTCTGCTCTCTGGGCCTCGGTTTCATCTTCAAAATGGGCATGGGTGGGGCTGGGGAGAAGGCTCTGTGGGTAAGATGGAGAAGGCCAGCTGTGTAAGCATGAGGACCAGAGTTCTTCAGATCCCCAGTACCAACGTGAAAAGCCTGGCACGGTGACACAACTCTGAAATCTCAATGCTGGGGAGCCAGAGAAGGCTGAAACTCATCAGCCAACCAGCCTAGCTGGATCAGTGACCTGCTGGATCAGTGAGAGACCCTGCCAAGAAAGAAAGAAAGAAAGAAAGAAAGAAAGAAAGAAAGAAAGAAAGAAAGAGAGAGAGAGAGAGAGAGAAAGAAAGAAAGAAAGAAAGAAAGAAAGAAAGAAAGAAAGAAAGAAAGAAAGAAAGAAAGAAAGAAAGAAAGAAAGAAAAGAAAGAAAGAAAAGAAAGAAAGAAAGAAAGGCAGATGCAGTGCCATGTTTCAGACTGACCGCCCATTTGCTCTGCTGTCACTGAGTTCAGGAGTCGGGGATGGGGGGAAGGAACCAGCAATGGCGGAAGAATCCTAATAACAATTATCTTTGTTACTCTTCTCAGGTTCTAGCTCTAAGTGCTTCACTTGCATGAACCCACAGAAGCAATGAGAGCAAAGGCAATTTCAGAGCAAAGGCTGGGGAAAAGTCCTGTATGGCTAAATCCTCCCAGGCTTGTCCGAAGGAGAAGGAGGGAGACTCGGGAGTGAGGTTGAGCGGATCTGCAAGTAGCTCAGCGTGCTCAGGGGATGGATAATGAAGGGCAGGAGCTGTGTGGTGAATGGCCGATGGCTGCCCTGTACTGCATTGTGTAGAATAGCCAGCTGAGGGTATCCAGAAGAGGACAGAAAGCCAAGAGGTCCTATTGAGTCCTTGCTAGTCACCCAGCAGCGCATGTTCTGATGTTTGTGTCAGTCTCTCAGTTTTCTGCTGGGCTGGGGGTCTGGGGAAATGAAAGAAGTGCCCTACGGCCCTACGAGCAGTGATGACCTCAGTCAGACTTCAGCCTCCGTTTCCCCGCCGTAGCAGGGAAGGGTTGAGTGGAATGGATTTCTCAGTGAGGTCTCCAAGATTGCTGGTTTTGAGGTGATCCTGGTTCACCTGTCTGTAAAGGAGGGCGGCACACGGGGACAGATGTGGTGTCTGCAGCTTCCTGTCTCTGATGAAACTCTCCTGCCTGTAACGCCCCAGCACCAACAACAGTGACCAACAACTACAGAGGTATTGAGAGAGAAAATGCTTTTCCAGACGCTCGTCATGTGATCAGTACCTCATCTGCACCATCACGTCATTATTATCCCCACCTCTGTGTATGTATGTGTGTGCGTGCGTGTGTGTGTGTGTGTGTCTGTTCATGTGGGTGGGTATACCAGTGTATATGAGACCTTAGTCGCTCTCCATCTTATTTATATTTTTTGGAGGCAGGGTCTTTCACTGAATGGCAGCTCACCAATTCACCTAGGCTGGCTGGCCAGCAAGCCCCAGGGATCCTCCTTTGCTGTTTCCCCAGCTCTGTGCTCACAGACACACCATGGTGCACGCTTTTTACTGGGCACCAGGGATAAAACTCAGCTCCTTGTGCTCAGTGTAACAGACACTTCCAACCATGGGCTGGGAGTTCTGCAGTTCCGGGCTGTCTATGGATTCTGCCATGATAGCCTACGCTGCCCGATACAGAGAGCTTAGGTAGAAGCGGAGCCCCCAGGCACCAGAGGGCCTTGCAGAGACTGAAGCACCCAAAGAAGGACCATGTGTGGACTAAACTTAGGCCCCCTACACAGATGTAGCTGATGGGCAGCTTGGTCTACACGTGGGTCCTCTAGTAAGGGAAGCCGGGGCTGTCTCTGACATGGACTCTGTTGCCTACTTTTTGATCACCCCCACTGGCAGGGCTGAGCACATCCTCTTCCCCTGTGGCCTGGCTTGATGAGCTGCGGTGGGTTGGTGGTGGTGGGGCTCCCTTGTTCTGAGGAATAAGGGAGGAGGGAGGGGAAGAGAGAGGGCTAGGATAATTCGGGTGTTTTATATATATCTAGCCTGGCCCAGGGAGCTGTCGGATGCCTCCCAACCTGAGAGCACTTTCCTGGTGTTAGCACCCCAGCCTCCCCTTTGCAACGTTGGAAGTACTCAAACTCCCTGGCTTCTTCTCATCCCTCTAATGTCATATAGGGAGGTCATGTGCCTGAGGTTGATGAGTCCCATTTCCCCGGGACATCCCATTGAGCCCATAGGGATGGAGATTGCTGGCGCCGGGCTGCCAGGGAGACTGATAGAGAGACAACTGTATTCATCCTGCATGTCCATCTTCAGTGACCCTGCCTCTGGGGGTTCGCTGGAGTTGTTGGCATTGCCAAGGCTGGAGGGGAGGGGGTTCCCAGATAGCAAATTTCTAACAAAAGTACCATGGTGGCAGGTACTGTGCTAAACACTTTCTCTATGGCCTGGACGGGGTGGCCTTATGGCCTCCACTTTCTGGAAGAAACTGAGGCTCAGGATGATTAAGAAACTTTGTGAGCTGTAGTAGCACACATCTGTAATGTCAGCACTCTGGAGCAGGAAGCAGGAGGATTGAGATTCCAGCCAGGGCTAATAGCAAGATCCTGTCTCAAAAATAAATGACTGAATAACTAAAATTTAAAGGAAGGAAGGAAGGAAGGAAGGAAGGAAGGAAGGAAGAAAAGGAAGAAAGGAAGGAAGGAAGGAAGGAAGGAAGGAAGGAAGGAAGGAAGGAAGGAAGGAAGGAAGGAAGGCTGCCAGGTCACACAGTTTGTAAACTGCAAAGCTGGGATTTAAACTTTAAGGGTCTTGGGATGAGAGAATGCTCTCTCATTTGGGGCTGAGCTATCAGGAGGTCAGCTCAATTCCCCAGCACTTCCCCTCAGCATGCCTGCATCCCTCAAGTCTATAAGAGTGACATCCCCCAACCTGTCCCTGGCCCTGGCCCCTGTGCTCACCTGGATGGATACTGATGTCTGTGTGTGGAAAGATCTGTGCAGGCAGGAGAGCCAGGAAGGCCACAGCCCACAGTTCCCATTTCTGCATTCTGAGCCTGGAGGAAGCTGCCTCTGGCTTTGCACGGAGTGTGGGTCCCCGATAGCTCTTCTAGGTTCAGGCTAGGCCTCCAGCAGCTAAGACAGATGGGGTGGACCCCAGTCCCTCCCCCTCCTGCCTCTCTCCCCATTCCTCTGCATCACTGGACACAATGTAGAGTGACAGCTGAGAGCAAAGCAGTGCTCCAGCTGGGAGCGCCTGAGCCCCCTGAGTTCCCAGCTCTGCTCTGAGCCATGTCTCCTCTTCTCTGGCTTCTGTCCTGGACCACCAACCATCTGTCCTTGTAGGCCAAATACCTCTCAAAAGGTGAAAGTGCAGTAGAGGATGATTACAGCAGACCCCTAGCCATGGAGGTGGTTTGTGTGGACCACATGAAGTCTTCAAATTAATACAGAAACAGGGCTAGCTCAGGACACGTCAGCAAGCCTGAGACCTGCATGGACACATGATAGAAGGGAGGACTGATTCCTGAGGGTTTTCCTGACTTCCAAGCAGCACATCACACACACACACACACACACACACACACACACACACACACACACACACCACATTGATGTCAGTATATTAAAATTAGGTTTTAAGTTAAGGTCAGTTTTCTGACTCCTGCTGCAAATCTGAAAACTGGACAAGACTTGGCCCTTATTTCTGCAACAGAAGCACTGCCCAGAGATGAGGAGAGCACCCACATCAGGGCTCTAGGAAATAATGTTTATTGAGGTCCTGTCCACTAGTCTGACCTTGATGCCTTTGGGGTCTCTCAAGCTGCTTTCAGGGTCAAAGGAAGCATCAGCAGAAGGGTCACACAATGAGTTACAAATGCCACAATGGTCATCTGTTGTGCCTGACACTACTGTGTGATTTTCTCATTCTTAAATGTCTTAAAACCCACTAGTGTTTCTATTGGGTATTCACTGAATTTAGGAGCATGCCATGTGTGTGTGTGTGTGTGGTGTGTATGTGTGTGTATTAGTTTGGGTATGGGCACATGGAAGCCTGAGGTTGGTGTCATATCTTCTGTAACGGCTCTCCACTTTACTTTTAGAGACAGAGGCTCTCCTTGAACCTGGAGCTCCCAGGTTCTGCTAGGCTGACTGGCAATGAGCCTTCAGAATTCTTCTCTCATCAGCTCCAAGATTACTATAAATGTGGCTGCACACAGCTTTTTACACGGGCATGGAGATTCAAACTCAGGTCCATTGCTTGAGCAGCAAGGACTTTACCAACTGAGCCACCTCCCCAGGCTGAGAATTCCTTTTATCCTGTGTGTTCTTGGTCAAACCACTTTGTCTGGCTGAGTCTAAGTCCCCCCCCATCTTATGAACGATAAATAGTACATATCTTCAAGAGATTAAATGAAATTCATTCCTTTGCTTACACTGTTTTTTTTCTTGGAATTTTTGAGACAAGATCTCACTAGATAGCCCTGCCTGGCCTGAAATTCATGATCCTTCTGCTTCAGCCTCCCTAGAGCAGGATGACAGGTGTGCACTACCGTAGCCAGGTGTTTATTCTGTTTAGCATGGATGCTGGCCAGTAGAAGATGCTCACTAAATAACAGCATATGTTTCTATTATTGTGACTGATCTCATCAAAGATTTTCCCTGGTGCTAGCAGCGTCTCCTCCATCCTGCATACCCCTTATCCTCCCCTGAAATGCTCAGTGAGGTGCTCTGACACTTCACGTAACTGGCATTCATGAGTAAGATGGGAATATGTCAATTTGGCTTCCTAGTCACTCATTCCCCTCCTACCCTGTACCCCACCGCTATGCTTGTGAGGAACAACTTAGCTCTCACCCACATAGCATGCTTTGCCCCACTGGTATTGGCACTGACGACTGCCAAGGCATGACTCAGCATACAGGCTCAACTCAGGCCCAACTCCAGACTATAGCAAGTCTCAGGTATACCAGTTGTCTCAAGACCATCGTATTAGGGCAGCTGCCAAAGCATGTGTATTTATTCAGAAGTGCTGAGCATCTTGTATATTCTTATCAGAGTGCTGACATTACTGTGAATATGAATGTTAATGTGTGAATGTAAGTCTTCATCATTGACCTGACTGGATTTGGAATCACTTGGAAGACACACTTCTGACTTACCTGAAGAGGGACAACCTACCCTGAATGTGGGACGCACCATCCGATGGCCTGGGAGCCCAGACTGAACAGAAGAGAAAAGGAGGAAGCCAGTCTGTCTTTGCTTCCTGTCTGTGAATGCAGTATGACCAGTTGCCCCACCCACCTTCCCTCCCAGCTAAAGCTCTCTACCACATGTCCCCTGCCATGAGGGACTGTACCCTCAAAACTGTGAGCCCAAACAAACCCTTCCTTCCTTGAGTTTCCGTGTCAGGTGTTTGTTCACAGCAGTGAGCAAAGGGAGCCACCACAACTTGCTTTAGAGGTCTCTCTGCTCTAAACAGCCCTGAAATGACATTCGTGAAGGTGGCACAAAATGTAAAGTCGTCATTTCCCCTTCAGGGCTGTCATCCTGGGAGTAGAGATGTAGAGGCTCCTGCTGGTATTTTCTGGGAGGCTACCAGAAAGCCAAGCTCATTTGCTTTAGCCCATGTTTGCTGCCATAACAAAATACTTGAGGCTGGATAATTTACAATGAAAAGAGTTTCAAGGTTGTAAAATTCAATATCAGTGTATCTGTATCTTCTTGCTGTAGAATTACATGTGGGAGGAGGGAGAGAGGAAAAGGAAGAGGAGGAGAGAGAGCAGAAGAAGAGATAAACTCTGGAGCTAAACACCCCACATTAACACAATTCAATATGAATTTTGGTGGGGCAAACATTCCAACCACATCAATGTCCTTCTGCAAATGAATATGATGGGAGAGGGAGAATAGCCCAAAAGAGGCCCCTGGAAATTCTTGTGAAGAGAGGATAGATGGTAGGTAGATGATAGATAGATAGATAGATAGATAGATAGATAGATAGATAGTAGACAGAACATTTTAGGCAGATAGATACCTCTGAATCCCCAGCTATAGTAATTTGTCCTGCAATATGTGTCTGAGTGTTGTTGTCCATCAGTCCCATTCCGTCTCTGAACGTATCCTTTGCTGAAATGCGGGTGTGACCCGTGGAAATGCATCAGAATTGCAGAGTCTCAGAGCCTGCCAGGAGCTACTGAATCAGAACCTGCCCTTGGTTTACTGTTCTCCGGTGGCTTGTGTGTTTATTTTACAGAATATTGCTTTACAGAATATCACTCTAGACAGTTTACAGAATATTGCTCTAGACAGGGGTACAGAACTTTTTTTTTTTTTTTTTTTGTAAAGAAAGAGCATGTTCCTTAGGCTTTGCAGGGTTTGCTAACCTATCACTCTTCAGCTTTACCAAAGACCCAGGAATAGGCCTGAAAGTGTTTCAATAAAACCGTATTTATAAAGACAGGCAATGGGTAGGGCATGGCCCAGGTTCTGTGGTTCGACTACTGCTGATCTAAGGCTCAAGTTTACAGACAGAAAATGGATGATTTTTTTTCCCTTAACAAGTATTGTTTGCTGTCAATTGAAGATTATGAAGTAAGGCTCTCTTTATAGTAATATATATTATATATATATATATATATATATATATATATATATATTATACACATGTATGAGTGTGTGAGTGTATGTGTGAGCGTACATTCTCAAGCTTCTTAAAATGACATTTACTGAATGCTATTCTGTCCTCCCTATACACATGTTTATGAGAGACTGGGCAAGTCAGTGAAGATCTGTCTAAAACATCTGCTGATTTATCATCTACCCATCTATCCATCCATCCATCCATCTACTATAGCTCTCTCTCTCTCTCTCTCTCTCTCTCTCTCTCTCTCTCATTGCTTAGCTCTTAAAATGTTATCTGTGAGGCAGGAGAGATGGTTCAGAGGTCAAGGGCACTTGGTAGGCAATCATAAGGATAAGAATTCAGATCACAGCACCAAGGCAACAAACTGGGTATCTGGAGTATTCTTGTAACTTCAGCTCCAAGGGAAGCAGAGACAGAAAGCTTGCTGGAGCATGCTGGCTCCCCAGCTTAGCCAAGAGAACATGAGCTTCAGGTTCAGCGAGAGACCTCATCGCAAAGGGCTAGGCGGAGAGTGATGGGGCGAGGGGAACACCTGGTGTCCTCTTCTGGTCTCTGCCTGTTCATACACACACCTGTATACACACATGTATACACACTCAAACATTTAAAAATATTGTGTATTTAGTGGTTAAAGTCCTCTGTCTGTGACTTTATAACAGAGGAGCCAATGCTTATTCATTTGATAAACTCTGAGACAGATGTTCTCATGTTCTGCTGTGATTAGACAGCAATTAGTAAATCTCTCTAAGCCTTGGCTTTCCTGCCTACAAAATCTGAACAAACTGATGCTTCTCCCATACAAGTGCTTAGAAAATGCTTAGCACATGAGAGGCACCCATGATCTGGAGACCTTAAACAATGCTGGAGAAGATGACCTCAACTTGGGAACTAACAGAGATGCTGTGGTCTGGATAAGACTTGAATGTCTCCCAAAAGTCCCTGCGATGAATCTGGCAGCCTTGGGAAGCGGTTGAGCTTTTAAGAGGTTGGTTGTAACGGGAAGTAACTGGGGACATTGCCCCTGGAAGAGGTTAAGGTCGTTCATGTGTGACCCCTCAAGGGTTGTAAGATCAGCAACCCCTCCCTCTGTCTCTGCGTCCTGGTTTCAATGCTCTCACCAAGATGTGATTCCATCCACTGCCCTCAGCACACATCAAAACTATGGCCCGTTTTGATCTTTCATCCTTTCCCTGCCTCAGGTATTGTTATAGTGATGGAAAGCTAACACATTCTCCAAAGGTTAACCACTTTGAAATGTAAAGGCGTTGCCTTCTAACATTTTCTTCTAGGCGTAAACTATTAGGTTTTTACATATCAACCCCTCTGGAGTTATTTCTGTTGGCCTTTCTGAACTAACGAAGGGCAGTTATCCCATCAGCAGTGGACAATGATATACCCAGAAAAGAAAGGGGTGTTTCTTCCTTGCAATCAGTCAGTATTTGGTAGGAACAAAATGCCAGTGCCTCAAATGACAGGCTGGTTTTGGTATTCTAGATAGAACTGTTCCTTCAGTTACAGGCCGGGAATAGGTCTGTAGTTTGTGTCAAGTCTGGGGACATGGTTGAAATCCTGTGGTGTTCTGGAGTTGGCCTGAGTTCAGAGCTGCAGCAGAGGAGGAAGAGGGGAATGCCTTCTCAAAGAGATAAGAATACTCAGGGGTCCTAGGGAAATGAAAGTATCTTTAAAACTCTCCATTACTGCTCTCCACCCACCTTTATTCTTTTAATGTGGGTCCCCATACCACACAGAGTTGGTGGAGTGGTCCAGGCATCTCTTTTCCCACCTCCTACCTGAGGAGGAGGAGGATGCTAATTAAAACAATGGGTAGTCCGAAGCAGGGCACCTCGGGCTCTGGTTTCTATAGAAACTCAGTCCTCCCTTCACCTTTCAACACATCTCTCTGTCTCCTGACAAACTCTATTCCTGGAGATGCGGACGGTTCTGATCTGAGCTGCCAGTGTTCCTTCTTGTCCCCGGCAGAAGCTGTCTGATGCACACCAGGTAATAATAGCCACTGGGTGCTGTGCTGAGACTCAAGTGAGGACTTTGCCAGCTTGATTCCAGCATGTCTTCACATCTATCCCTTGGGGTAGTCACCGATTGTCAGACAAAACAAACCAGCAGGACAGTTGGCCACACCTACTCTGTGTTACAGGTGTCTTGTTACAGAACACACACGCACACACGCGCACACGCACGCACCGCCTTCTACACTAGGATCATGAACGCTTGTTGTTGGGCCTGTCTTCTTATGTGGGTGCTGAGGATCTAACAGCGCTTCACTTTCCTACCTCTCGGCTCTGCTGGTCTGCCTCATGCACACTAGCAGCCAGCACCCTCCTTCTTCTATGGCATGGACAAAACTGCAACAGAAGATAACTCCAGTGCATGGCACAAATAAATAATCTTTAATTTGGACAACAAACAGCTCCCCGCCACAGAGGACAATACACTGTGGAGAAAGATACAGAAGCATCCCACGGGGGAGGAGTCTATTCTAGCTACTAAAGCCTTAACACACGAGACTCGACCAGTGCACACGCAAAACACAGAAGGCTCATCGGAGTATATGGTTAAGGGTCATGGTGGAGGGATGTGGCACCATTTTCATTCACGTGCCAGACCCCTGACAGGTCATAACCACCACAATCCAGTCACACACGTTACTTTTGCTCTATTGTAACCCTATTTACGGACACGCGATCTATCGCTACCTGAGGTGGGGGGGGGGAGTCTCTGATAGGTGGGAGGATATGGGGTAAGCTTGCATTGGATGAAAGGCAGAGGTAAGGGAGCTTCGAGCATGAAGGCCCTGGCCACCACCTTGCTGTCTAACGGGATGAGTAGGCACGCATGATAACATACGCACACGTACCCACAGCGAGTCCCAGAAATAAGCTAACACAAAGACAAATCAGATAAACCTAGGCTCCTGACCCTGGGTTACCTCCTCTTGCCCCCCCTGTTCTCTCCAAAGAGTCTAATCTAGTTTTCACATGTACTAAGGAGAAAGATACTTATACCTTTGGAGAAAGGTATCACGGGTGGAGGCCCCAAGAAAGAAATGGCCTGTTCAGAAGTTTCCTGGAAGGTATGTTTCTGAGGTGTGGATCAAGCCCCCCACATATCAGCCAAACTCCTGGTAAACCGAGTCAGGCTCTTTTCAGGAAGGCCTTCTTTCTCTGGCCTGAGGGTTGAAAGTACATTTAGGGGCACTGCTCAGAAGTCCCATAGCAGAACCCACCCAGCTCGTGATTTATGCGTGAATGGAGTTTCCGGAAACTTCACAAGCTTCCCCCAACGAGGGTGGCTCCTGTATGGCCAACGGTCAGCCTCCTCTCAGTGCCGAGAGGGCTTTGTGTAAGCTCGTGCACATGTGTGAAAGTATATGTAGGTGTGGGTTGGACGTTTACGTGACACATTTGTTTCTCTTTCTCTCTCTCTTTTTTAAACAAACGAAGGTTGCCTTCTCTCCGGCGATCAGGTCACCTCCAGGGAGGCAGGAGACACTCGGTCACACTCAGCCCGGGACCTCAGGCTGTGCCACTGCTCCACAGCCGTGCGGTGGGTGTTGAGCATCCGCCGCCAGTGGTTGGACTCTGAGGGGCCGGAGGAGTACTGGCCGATGACAATCCTCCCGATGAAGTCATTGCTGCTTTTCATGTTGTGACCGAACACTAGAGAGCCAGAGGGAAGAGGTTGGGCAGGGAGGACGTGAGGAGCAGGGAAAACGGGATGGGGAGGAAGGCACAAGAAAGAGGCCGTTAGTTCACACACACCCTGCTCAGCGGCAAATATGGGGTTGCTGGGGATATTGCTTCTCAGGGGCTGTCTTCCAAGCACAGCTGAGGCTCCCGCTGTCCCTTACCAAGCCAGCCATTCCCATTTACCAGCGTTTGCACTGGGGGTTCCTTCTTTGAAATGTGCCACCCACAATGTGCGACTGTAAACTTACATCTCGCTGACTCACACATTGCTTACAGAACTCTGTGAATGGACAGTTCTGGCGGGGCAGCAAGCTTTCACCACAGTCCAGCTAAGCCGATAAACCAGGATTTGTGTGTGTCCTGAGTGTACATATGTGTGCCTGTGTGAGCCCTGGCAGAGACCAGAAGTGGACTTTGTGTCCTGCTCTGTCACACTCTGCCTTCTTCCCTTGTTTCTCAGGGTCTCTCGGTGAACTTGGAGCTAGACTGACGACCATCCATCACCAGTGATACAGTGTCTTTATTTCCCCAAAGTACTTGGGTTACAGGCATGCACTCAGCCATTCTCAGCTTTTTGCACGACGGCTGGGGATTTGGATCAAACAAGAGTATATCAACAGCATCATGCTCCGAAAAAATCCTTTACTATAGAGGTTTGTCCAGCAATGTGAAGGATGCTTAGCAGCATCTCTGAATCTACCTACACGATGCCAGTAGCAGCATCCCTCCATCAAGCTGCGACAACCCCAAATGTCTCTTGACATGGCCAATAATCTTGTAGGCGGTCCAACATAGATGAGAGCAGCTGGGATTGAACTAAGAGGACAGACATTCTGAGGTGAATCTTGGGACTCTGGAGCAAGCAAGGGTGATTATTAATCTCAGCTGTTGACTTCAAAGGCTCTAGACTCACCCTGAGATACTGGCTCCTGGACATGCCTATGGGGATTATCTTTAGATTAACTGAGGTGGGAAGACATGCCCACTGTGGATGGCACCATTCCCAGGGCTTGAACTGTATGGGAAAGGAGAAACTTTGTTGAACATTTGATTACCATTTCTTGACTGATACTCAGTGTAACCTCAGCTCCTTCAAACTCCTTCAGCCTTGACTTCCTGCCGTGAGGGACTGTACTAGAACTGTGAGTCAAAATAACGTCTTTTTTTTTTTTTTAGGTTGTTTTTGTCACCTCATCACAGCAAACAGGAAAAGTATCTATGACATAAACTGAACACTTTTATGCCTCCCTTTCCTCATTTAATCTAGAGGATTCTCACTATACTTTATCTTGAAAGTTAATACATTATGGAGCTGAAATGTTGTGTGTCCAGCTCTAACCACACATGGCAAATGATGTACTATTGTTTTGATCCTAAATTTCTGTTCATTGAACTCATAAAAAGAGACCATGCACTTCTGTTTTTCACAGTGGAGGGAAGTTCATGAAGAGAAATGGCCAGGATAGTTTCTTCCACCCTTAGTCACATGTTCTGTCTCTCAGAAAGATTCTCTGTTAATTCCAATGCAAGCTTAATTAGTGTCATTCAAACCTAATGAGATGGTTGGGTTGATTTATCTTTCTGGAAAAGTTCAGCCTCATTCTTTATCTGTGTGTGGATAGTTTAAATGTGCCATTGCACTAATGGGGAAGCAGGCTGTGTTATAAATGAAAGGCTGAAGAACAAGAAATATCACAGATTCACCCAGTATGAGCCAAGCAAAGGCAGGCTAAATCCCAGGAGGGATACTGATTATCAAACAAAACAGCTCAAATCTACAGCCCTACAAAGAACTTGAATGCTAGTAGTGAGGCTCTGTTCTCCCTTGTGGGGTTCACATAGAGAATTCCAAATGATAGAAATGGGGGTTGGAAGAAGAAAAGTGCAAACACAAAATCAAGAACACCATCCAACATCCGAAAACAAAACACTCACGGAAACAGGGCAGGAGAAACAATGTTTACTCAAGGGTATCTGGTGCTTGTTAGCTCTGTGGGGTAAATTGGAGCATGTATATTTTTTGTACAGTGAATAAAGGGCTTGGTGCACATAGATAGACCTCATTACATAAAAAACCCTTATGACAGAAGGGCAATAGTAGTGATGGAATTTTGGATTAGTAAGGAAATTACTAAGGTGATGCACAGAAAAAACAAACAAACAAACAAACAAACAAACAAACAAAAAGCCAACTTGAGTAGTTAATAATCCAGACCTTTTAGACCATGCTTGGCAAGGAACATAAGGTTCTTACTAGACAAGAACAGGTTACCGGGGTTCTATTTCCTGTGAACCTCAGTCTAAAACAAGATCTTTTCAGAAGGCTATTCCACATTCATTTGGTTTTCTGTTCTCAAGGTAAAATGTACTGACCTTCTCTGTCTCTGCAAAGCTCAAGAACAATGGAATGGTCCTGTGGCTCATGCCTATGATCCCAGCATGTGGGAGGTTGAGGCATGAGAAATCCTGTGTCAAGCCAGACTACGCTATAGAGTGAGCCCCATCTCAGGAACTCCAAAGGAAAAAAAAGTGGACATACACAGCAGCATCCCTCAAATGAGCATAGGGTTTGTATCCTTGAGAAGAAGTTTTAGAGAAGGAAATCATGGGCTGGGGAGAAGTCTCAGTCAGTTCCATGATTGCCCATGTAAGCATAAGCATCAGAGTTTAGAGCCACAGATCCTGGGTGCTCCCCTGTCCCAGCCTAGCTAAGTTGGTAAACACCAGGTACAGACAGAGATCCTATCTCAAAAAGAAAGCTGAGAGAGATTGAGGGAGACACGCAGCCTTGACCTTTGGCCTTCACATGAGTATGTATACACACATACAAATGAATGTACACAGAGAGATAGACACAGACAGACAGACAGACAGAGACAGAGGCAGAGATGAGAAACAAAAAGACAAATACAGAGAGAGACAGAAAGAGATGGCGGAGAAAAAAGGAAAAATGTAAGCACTGTCATATAATAAAGACTGAGTTGGTTCAATTTTTGGAGTTGGTTCAAAATGAAAAGCAACTTGTGACCCGCCACATCTGTTCTAGGACTGTGTCCCACAGCACCACCTACAGAAACAGACACAGATAAATTCATACAAGGATATTTTACACAGCAGGAATTGACAACACAAAGCGTCCAAGACAAATACAGCCCTCCATCTGTTTTTGTAAATAAAGTTTTATTGAAACACGGCCAACCCCATTTGTTTACAGAATGATGCACTTGTGCTGCAGGAAAGGGTTGATATCTTCGTTTGTTTGGGTTGCTGTGGGAAAAAATGCCGTCACCCAGGTGGCTTGGAAACAACAGAAATTTCTTTCTCATGGTGCTGAAGACTGGGCAACACTAGATCAAGGCACAGCAAGCTTAGACTCTGGGAAGGGACCCCTTCTGAGTTAGCTTTTGTTTGTTTGTTTGTTTGTTTTTCCAAGACAGGCTTTTTCTGGCTGTCCTGAAACTCACTTCATAAACCAGGCTGGCCTTGAACTCACAGAGATCCGCCTGCCTCTGCCTCCTGAGCGCTGGGATCAAAGGCGTACGCCACCACCGCTAGCTGAGGTGACATCTTCTTACTGTGTACTCAAGCAGTGGGAGGGATAAGTCGGCTCTCCCGAGGCTTCTTTCATCAAGCCACAGATGTCAGCTTGACTTCAGAGAGGCCTGGAGACTGGGGTCAGCTGCTCAGGTGCTCACCCTTGCCTATGTGTCCAAATCCATTGACTATCCCAGACACCAAGGCTCAAGACAGTTTCCCCGATTGCCAGAACTTTGAGTATGCTGCTAGTCATCACTCCAGAAGCCTTACCGTCCTCTTGGCTCCGGTCAGGGAGGATAGCTGAATGCCTGGACTGAGTCTCACTTAGACTCCGCCCTCTTTGCCCATCTTGGTCTGTCCAGGCAGCTATGAGACACTGCTATAAATTAGGCAGCTTGAAAACACCAGAAACTCGTTTCTTATCGTTCTAGAGGCTGGGGAAGACCAATACGAGGGTGTAATATACTTGGGGTCTGGTTGGGAGGGCTTACTCTTTGTAAAGATCGAACCTTCTTGCTTTGCTCCCCATGGTGTGTGGAGGAAGGGTGAGGAAACCCATGGATCCCATTCATGAGAGTGGAGCCCAACCACCTAATCATCCCTGGAGGGTCCCGTTACTCTTCCTTAGTGGGTCATTTGCACCTGTGACATCAGCTTAGAATATGCTTTGTAGATGCCAATACTAAGAGTGGAGAGCGCACTGATTAACCTCTGCTGTGGGAGCTACATCACTGCCAGAAATGAGAGGGAGCCCCATACTCAAAAGGAAGGGGGGCTCTCCAAGGCACACAGTTCACCCAGCTGTCAAGAGAGCCTTTCTGTGGAAGGAAAGTCCTGGGTTTTGTGTTACATAAGTCTCTGAGAGTTAAAACTTCATGTAACAAGTACATGTTACGTTGGAAGAAAGCAAAAAACAGCCGTTATTAGAGAATCCACCTAAATCGCCAGAAGGAGGGAGAGGAAACGGAAGCATTATATCCCACGCTTTCCAGCCCAATTTGCAAAGTAACTTGGCTGGTGAATTATTAGGCCCTGGAGAGGCGGGGCCCCTCCTGGTGATTCAGCCCTGGCGGATGGGAATGTGCCTCTCTGGCCATCTGAATTAACTTCAGGCCCTGGCTCTCGCAAACTGCTTAGTAAAGTCATCAAGTCCTGGTGGTCTGTGAAAGAAATACACAATTCTGAACGCAAACATTAAGATGAGGTTGAATAGGGCTGATGTCATCAAGTGCAAAAGCAGCATGGAAGGGGGGGCAGGAAGCTCAGGAGTTGACATAACCTTGAATATTAAGTTTTGTGTCACCGCAAAGAACGAAGAGTTAAGGTGAGAGGCCAGGTGCGGTGGCACACGCCTTTAATCCCAGCATGCAGGAGACAAAGTCTGGCGAATATCTGTGAGTTCAAGACCAGCCTAGTCTACACAGTGAGACCCT